TTGAAAGTTATGGTAAAGTCTGCAAAAATTGAAAAAGTTAGGAACCGTTACTGCAATTTTTCCTAATATTTTCTCTTCAATTCTTGAATTGACCACTATTCACGCCTCTTCTGACATTGTTGCTGATTCACTGCTCAAGACACATCTCTGATTCTCTATAGAGGTTAAAGGCGTCTAAGAAAAGACCTCAACAAAAGTAAAGCCGAATACATGTAAACAACACAAAGCGCATAGTTTATTTAACCATGAATTTAATATCTAAACAATAAAAAAGTAGTCACAAGATGCAATTTTAATCAACGCAAGGCTAGTGCTGGTAACTTCCTCGGACAGAGCCCAAGATATTACCACCAATAACGTTTGGTACCAAAAAAAAAAAAAAATGGTTTAGTAAATTCTACGAGTCGGGCCTAAGATCCTGTTAACGGCCAAAACCACTCAGTTCAGACTATAGCCTAACTCAGTTGGGTAAGCCTATCAGAACTTTCTTGATGAAAACGGTGAATTGCTACATTTCTTACCACAAATGTGCATTTCTGCTTCCATTGGCAATAACCAACCGAAGGACGAATGGCAAATGAAAACGAAAGATAATTGCTCGACTGTTGCACAAGTACGCCATTTGTTTTGGGCATGCAAGAAACTTCATACCAACAGAAAACATAATATATCCCATATCTTGTGAAACGGTACTTCTTAAAAAGCATCTCAGTTCATCAATCAAGCTTGTGTTTGTGGAGGCAGTGCGTGCAGAATAATATAACAGCATAAACAAGCCCCGACAGAGCAAGAAGCAGCACTGCAAGGTGAAACAGAGAGAACTGTCAGATACGCATGGCCTAATTGATTTTAAAAAATAAAAATTATCCACATCTGATGAAAAGAATCATAAAATATCAAGAAAAGTGAAAATGACCAAGGGGAACATCGAGAACTTTTCAAATATATAATCTGCACTACATCCCAAATGGCTTTGGCAACCACCACGAGCAATGATGGCAAACTCATTCTGCGGTTGTTGTCTACATATAACTGAAAAATCATTTTTCTTTTCTTTCTTCTTCATAGAAGTCTTCATCTACCCTTACATACAAAATAGCATGCCTTTTCTATGAAACCTCCATCAAACAGTCTAGAGTACAAAAGTCAGTTTAATAAAGGATGAAGCTGGACATGGCATCCAATTTCGGAGAGGTTCAAGGTTTTGGATCTGATGGAGGAACAAAAATGCAGAAAATTTTAACAGCGACTTCTATGGTGATCGTGAGAAGTTAATGCATTTAGACTCGGTAGTTTATAGTGGAAGTAGAGGCAAACGGAAAGTGGCAGAACTTGTTTTGTGCTTCTTAATGTGTAACAGATGTTCAATGAACAATAAAGATAAAGAAGACATCCAGTTGTCCTTTGAGTGTTGCACAAGAAAAAACATATATTCAAAGAATAAGATATTACAAAAATGAGATAGTAATAATTATAGGAGGAAAAAGTCGTGAAATACATTGATTCCTCCAGGCTGAAGCAATGAACTAACAGCCAAGAGAACGTGAATACTGATTTCAAAATGACTTCCATTTATCAATAGATGATAGATATATGGACTGCATTTGCATAATAATAGCATTCCCAACTTAATATGGCAATACAAAACAAAAAATCTTTCAACAATAAGAGTGCATTAAATAAGACCAAATAAGGAAAAAGAAAAGGTTCCATACCAGCTGCAGCAGCAAAAAAAAGGATAGTTATTCGATATCTAACAATCCATGGTAGATCAACTTCAAGGGAACACTGCTTCTTATACTTCCCATCATTCCTTTTTACTTCAGATTCCTTCTTTGGGAACTGGAGTTGTGACAATGAGATATTCACACCAGTGACGGGCAATCCATTTTCATCGTGCACTTCAAGTTTCAATTCTGGAGGATTTGTATTCCAATTAATCTCGATGGTGCCAAAATTCGGCCTCCCTAGAGGATATTAACGTTGAAGATCACCAGTCAAATACCTAGGCGCATCAACATTGGCAATTACAAAATAAATAAAGGGTTACCATATGTGCATGAACTGTATCTGCAGCTTTTGTCCATCACCCTCATTGTAGTTGGTGTTAACCAAGCCAAAAATCTCACTACAAAATGCAGAGGTGCAGGAACAGCCTTCTCCACAGCTTGATTGAGCCCACTAGAGGTTACATCATAAATTGGATATTCAGTGGCACAACCATATCGACTAATTTCTCCAAAATGAACATCACCACTTATGAAGAACACAGCTTCCCTCTGTTCAAAGAAAGTGAACTAAGAGATAAAGAAGCTATCGGAAGTACATCACAATGAAATGTACATCTAAGCACTAGTTAATCACCAAATTTTGCGTCCATGTGAAACTAAGAAAATTAAAATAAAGGATGAGTGATTAATGCTTGCAACAATACACATTGGCAAAACTAAAAATAGAACTCGTTCATAAGTGAATTTATTACAACTTCGGAAAATAATAAGATGGCAATCACCTTACTGTCACCTAACAACTTAAAAAGACGAGTCCTTTCCTTAGGAAAACGTCCCCAGGACTCAACCTGGAGTAAGGGTCCAGTTGTTGCCGAGAGGTTTGAAATGACCTGAATGAAAATAAAAAGTTACAATTATGAACTGGGAACACTACATTATAGGTTCACTTAAAAAGATGACAGTATGCAGGAATGAGAAGCATCAAAACTTAAAATATCTAAGAAGTTATCAACACATGACAATTATAAAATCGATGCTGCTTACAAGCTTATGCATATTAGGTTGCAAGATTTTGTAATCAAAAGGAACTTAAAAAATTGAGGAACAAAATCTGGAAGAACTACAGCTGAAAAATTTGCTCAAATTATTGACTGCCTACATTAAGCATGTAAAGTCAAGTAAGACCAGGACTCCGGCACATTTCAGAACATGTTGAACATAGCAAATATCGACACAAAAATTGTGGTTAGTTTGAATCTCAACCTAATTCAGTTGGCGCAGTCAAGCTGAAGTCAGTTACATGTTATGCATGCATGAAATTGTATATGTTAGAAAATTTATATTTTTTCTTGATCAGAACTACCGATAATCTAGCTTTTGAAAGAGTTCAATCAGAGGATATAGTAGACTTCGATACCAATCAACATAGAACTAGAAGACAGAACGAAAAAAGAAAGATTTTAAAACTTAGGAGACAAATTTAAAGGGCATTTAATATCACTGAATATCACCAATCAACTACAGTATTCATAAAAACTAGTCATATTCATTATTAAAATTCCTAAAGAAAAGGAAAGCTGAAAAATAACTAATTAAAAAAAATCTCAATAACTAATATTACAAAAAATAAATCAAATTTGTTTGTATTTTTTGCCTGGGATAAGTAGGTAGTTCTGAAACACTTAAATGACTTCAAGAAAAAGTAGGAAAAGAGTGCTCGCAACATAGTTCTTACTGAGGCACAGAAAATGTTGGAAGACTTTTCATTTTAATTTCATCAAATCCAACTACAACAAGATGCATAAACTCAGACTATAGACAATGAACCAAAATTTTGAAAGAACGAGGTAGATGTGTAATACCTGAATAGAAGATCCAATAACAGTAATGGCCGTAGGAGGTGCATTCAACTCCTCCTCCAACCATTGCCATTGTGAACTCCCCAAGATACTTCCATCACTAGCTATCGGGTCTCTATGATATCGTGTATCTAGAAGAATAACCTGAAGAAGTTTAAGACACTGAACTAGAACCAGATATCTACAATTTTGTCCACCTATAAGATGTTGGTGTTCCAGGTTAAAGTTAATGTGCAAATCACTTTATATTTCTTTATTGGCACTAATAGTGTTAGTTAGACTGCAAAGAATGAAATACCTTTATTTGTTTACCCACAGGGCCAAATGTGTAGGACGCATAAACCCCAGCTTGCTTGCGCCTGCAAAAAAGATTTTTCGGCGAAAGATAAAGCCATAATTGTAAAAAGTAATGACAAAGAACTGAGATTGTCATGAGGACTATAATTTTTCCTCCTCTCTCTCAAAACAATTTTTTCAACAGAATGCTTATTTGTGTTGGGGAAGACATGGAAGTGTTCATCCGCTGAGTGCAGCAAAAAGGAAAAAAAGACATGAATTTAAGTCAATTTCAGATTGCTTATGCTCAACAGAATGACAAAGCGTAATGACAAAGAACTGAGATTGTCATGAGGACTATAATTTTTCATCCTCTTTCTCTCAAAACAATTGTTTCAACAGAATGCTTATTTTTGTTGGGGAAGACATGGAAGTGTTCATCCGCTGAGTGCAGCAAAATGAAAAAGAGACATGAATTTAAGTCAATTTCAGATTCCAAACAATAATTAATTTCGTTTATCGAGACTAAAAATGGTAAGATTGTACCAGATTTTGCGATGAAAGACGACTAACCTTGGACTGTCCTGTGGTTCATCCAGAAAATCCAACATAAGCCTTTGGTTCGTGACCTTTCTGGGGAACTCTTTCCCTGCATCATTTAACCCATAATCGTGGTCATCCCAAGTGCCGACAACCTGGGATTGGATTTAGTAGCAGAATAAATAAATAAACAATAGTGAGCCCAGTGCATTCCATATGGCCAAATTTATAATTCTAATACCAGTAATCAATATCACTTTGAAATTCCTTTTAGTATTACTATTACAATGGAAATTCAAATTTATTTATTGATTTTATATCTGTACGCATCAATTTTAAGTATACATTAGCATCAAATGTTGAGGAAAATACGTGTTGGATGGGTTTTCAATCATAGGAGATGACTAGAATCACTAGATCAGAAAAGAAGGTGTATACTGGATCCTGGCCTTTCAAATGGTGCCTCAATGTTTCTTTAAGTCTATGTTTCTCACTCAGTGTGTTCAGTCTCAAACACAATATATCATTTACTGTGTCTCCTAGTTTAACACTGTGTAGGAGAAGTTTAAACCCAAAAGTTAATTTTTGGTACTAAAAGCATACTGATAGCAAAACAACTCCTTCTCTTCAGGAACAAAATAGAAACTTAACAAGTAATAGCACTAACAAATTAATTAGATTCAAGTATCATAAGAACATTAGTTATTAGGTAACGGTCAGATACAATAAATCCTGAGTTAGAAAAGGTTCGAGAAACTCATTTTGTTAAAGCAATGAAACAGAAAGGGAGGGAGTTAACAGCTTGTGAAGTCGAAAAGAAGAAGGTTCACCTTCGTGCTTTCTAGAAGACGAGAATAACCAGGATTAGCCCTGGCAATCTGATATTTGTGCCTCATTTCATGCTCCGAGGTTGGGGTAAACCTGGGAACATTTTTCCACGGCCCAATTGTCCTTTCCTTGCCGAAGATCTTGAAGGGATGTCGAAGATCCCCATAGATGTTGTCACCCAACCACACAAAAACTTGGGGTTTGAAGTTTATAATAGCATCCCATATAGGCTGTCACCATAAAGTCTAAAATAATTCAAGCCCATTATCGTAAGAATTCAATGCATTGGATAAACGGGGACTATTAATCTTTAGGCAGTGTTCAATTAAATTACTACTATTATTTGCTAGTTTATCAAAAACCCAATTTGCATTTTTTACGAAATTAGAATAGAGAACCTGGGGAGCGCTTTGGTTGGCACAGGATCCGAAGGCAATTCGGGAGACAAGAGCCGCCTCTTCCTGGGCGGCGCTGCAGCATACAGCCATCGTCAAAATGAACGTGGCCACCAACCGCCGCAACATCATTGTAATACAGGAATACGGGTTAAATAGCTTGTGATCATGCAACGAAATACAGCTCTTTCGGGTTTTTGAATTTCCTTCTGAATAACACGATGCAGCGTGCGTTTTCTGACTCGAGAAGAGTGTAGAAATGGCTATATTTTGCGTAATACAAACGAAGAAATGGAAAAAATATAATAATCCAAAGTAAGAAGAGATTCTGCTTTTTATTTTGAGAAAACTTCAATTGCGTTTGATATTTATGAATTATAAGTGAAAAATGCAGACTAGTTGTGCCTGTGACGTGTCACTTTTACAATCAATAAGCATGGCAGTAAATAATAAAGTTTACATAGAAAAAAATTATTTTATCGAGAGAATGCTTAATTAAAAATAAATTTAATAAATAAAATAAAATCTTGAAACTCAAACAAAGACTTAATTATAATAAATTCCTACTTTTCTATAAAATCTCATTTTTATTTAATATTTTTGACACGGTAATATTACAAATATATCAATATTTATGAAAAAAGGTTAAATATGTTTACTATACAATTCATACTATTATACAATTCAAACAATATATGCTTATCCTATTGCAAGTGTAATTCACGCTATAATTTTTATTTCTAGCATCGCATTTTAGTTAAATTTAATGTTCTCAATCTTTGTTCATTACATCACTTATGTTCCTAACGATTTTTCATGACATTCTTATCCTCAAACTTTTCATTATTTAACACATTTTGCATTTAATAATAATTTGTCCAAAAAGTTCGCTGAATATCGTATAACAACTTATTTTCTCATCAGATTTTTAATAAATAAATGCAAAAAATATTTTTCCATCGTTTCAAAGCTTGAAAACAGAATATTTTGATAATCAAGGACAAGATGTACTGATTAATAGAATGTTGAATATACGAATTCAACAAAAAAAAAATTTAAGGAAATAATTGAGGAGTTTAACAACATTAAAATGTCGTGTAACAAATAAAAGTTGTAATGTCAACATAACAATTATTTTGACAATTGTTTATCAAAATAATTATTTATGAATATATGACGTCCTTGTACTTGTTAATTACATTATTTTCACTTTTTTTTTTTAATGAAATCTCTTTAAACAAATAATTTTGACATATAAACATGAGGAAAATGCGGTTCCCTTTACTCATTGAAGTTGAAAAATATCTACCATTCATAATTAAACGAAAGATATCCAAATTTTTTTTGACAATGTACATAATGTCCTAACGTGACTAGTTGTACAATTCCCATAAAAATGATCAGAAAGACAATAACACCCACGACACCGCCCCTATCCCCACTTATAGAACCTATTTTTTCATTCTCTAGACTAAGGATTCGTCTGCAGAAATTGTTGTTGCTACACCAAATTTCATATCAGTCCTAATTTCTTTTGACTACGTCTCCCATCCACGGATTTCGTTTCAATCGATTTCTATCAATCAAAAGAGGTAATTTTTCTGTTATTATAGTTAATGTGCTCATTCCCATATATCGTCAAACCACCATCACCTTTAGAAACCTTATTATTGTCACTTATACTCGAAAGGCAAGGATCCACGTGTGAAAATCACCGCCTATGCTCAAAAATCCTTTTTGTCTCGACTTATTCGACTACAATGCCGACCATCTAAGATTCAATCTCATATCTCGTATTTCGCTCCAGTCGAATTATGTCAATCGAAAGAGATACTTTTTTCGTTATTATTACCATGGTTATTGTGCTAGTTCTATATATACTGCAGATATATTGGACTTGGACGTAATCTTTGAAAATACATTTTGGATGGCACTGCATTCAAAATATATTTTGATACGCGTGGTGATGAAAACTATTTAGTTCGATACATGATTATTGTCGATCTTTCTGCATTTTTGGTAAGGTTGTTGTGGTCTGATATTGAAATTTATGACGGGGAATATGAAAGACAATTAAATTTTGAGCATGTTCGAGGATTCAAGTTAGGTTTCATCATAAATTGTACATTGTCAAAGGTTCATTAACTGGTTCATTTTGGTGGTGGTTGGAAAAACGAAGCCAAATGACAGTGTTCATGCCATATAGTAGTGACACAAGTTTGGAAGTAGAATATGTTGTTCATTATATGTTTACTTTTGGTTCTATTCGTCATTTTATAGTAGTCGGATGTTGGTTCCCATCAGAGGGTGAACAAGGGTGTTGGATTGGATTCTAGACATAGTTCGGCTATTTTAATTGAGATGCAGTGTTTTCGAAAGTCATGGTCGATCTTTTTTAGATATGATTGATGTTAGGGTTAATATGAAAATTGTGTGAAGACTTACTCGAAGGTCCATCAAAGTCCATTTTGGTGGTGGTTGATTAAACGATGTATCAAAACCATTGGAATCACTTTGGCGCCATAAATTAGTTTGTTTGGTAGTTTAGTTAGTTGGTTGGTTGTACTTGTGTTTGCCGCCTTTTTTTCCTTCTGGTATTTAATGTGAATGTACAGTTCATTTTCAAGCAAGTTGAATGAGAAATTCCATTTTTCCCAAATTCTTATTTATTTCCCTCAATATGGTATCAGATCATAAGCTTCCTCAGCTTCGCGATTAATTCCAACAAAGTATCTGATTTATCATGGCAGATACTTCAGATCATAATCAACCAGATCAAGTTTCATCTTCATCAATGAGTCATCCCGCAATTGATGATGTTTCCAACCTATATTTCCTTCACCATTCAGATAGCCCTGGACTTGTTCTTGTTTCGCTACAGCTAATAGGTGAAAATTACACCTCCTGGAATCATGCTATGATTATAACATTATCAGTAAGGAACAATTTGGGTTTCATTAATGGATCAATCATTCGACCTGAAGGTAACACTGGTCTTTTAATTCTTGGATCTGCAACAATAATATTGTTCTCTCTTGGATCCTCAACTCCGTATTAAAAGAGATTTCAAATAGCATAATCTACTCAGAATTTGTAATGAGATTTGGACTAATCTCAAGGAAAGGTTTCAATAGAGGATTGGTCTTCGAATTTTCCAATAAGACGTGAACTACTAAATCACACACAAGGACAACTATCTGTTTGTGCCTATTTCACCAAACTAAAGACCATTTGGGAAGAACTTAACAACTATAAACCATCGTGTTCATGTGGGAAATGTAATTGTGGATGAAACAAAACGCTGGCTGAGCATTATCACATGGAATATGTCACGTCGTTCCTAATGGGATTGAACGACTTTTATGCTCAAGTCAGAGGGTGACTGTTACTTATAAATCCAATTCCCCCAACAAATAAGGTGTTTTCACTCATTTTTCAGGAAGAACACTAAAGAGCTGTTAACATGACGCTGGAACCACTGATTCTTTGGTATTTTATGCTAGAAATTATGTAAAAAAGGACAAATATGGGTTAGTAAAAATCAAAAGAAGGATATGTCAATCTGTACCTATTGTGGATATGGAGGGCATGCTGTTGATAAATGTTACAAACTGTGTGGATATCTGCCAGGATATAAGACAAAGCAGAAATATGGATCAAACAATCAAGTAGGACTTGGTTTAAGCAATCAAACAGTTTATGATGCTCACTCAAATAATGTTGTTGTTAAATAAGTTTCTGGTTCTATTTTAGATCAAACTCTTGGCAATGTTGGGAACTTTATGCAAATATTAAATCCTGACCAATACCAACACCTACTAAGTACAATGAGCACACACCTCACAGCTGCCAAGGTAGAAGGTGAAGGAATTAATTCAGGTCATGTGTGAGGTACATGTTTGTCTATTTCCATTAATCCAATATTCAATTTCCCTAAACATTGCGTGTTGGATTCAAGGGAAACTAATCATGTTTGTTTTAGACATGCACACTTTCAGACATTGAAGGCATTGCAGAATGCCTTTATCACATTGCCTAATCACACCAGAATTCCTATATATTTTGCTAAAAGTGTAACTCACCCCTGATTTAGTCATTAGGGTTGTCCTTTAAAAGATTGGAATCTTTGAAGGATCAATTACATTTTAAGAACGATAAAAGAACTAATGATGTTCCTTGTTATATCTGTACACTTGCAAAGTAAAAAAGATTGCTATTTGTTTCAAATGATCATTTATCCTCCAATGCTTTTGACCTTGTTCACTATGACATTTGAGGTCCCTATAGTTCTCCAACACGCAATGGCCACAAGTATTTTCTTACATTAGTTGATGATTGTACAAGATTTACTTGGGTTTATCTCCTGAAATATAAGTCAATTGTTCTTATCACTATTCCTAAATTTTTCAGTTTGATTGAAACACAATTTTACAAAGTTATCAAGGTATTCAAGTCTGATAATGCTCCTAAATTTCACTTCACATAATTTTTTTAGCTCTACGGGTGTAATCCACAATTTTCATGCATAGAGAGACCTGAACAAAACTCAGTTGTTGAGAGAAAGCATCAACATCTACTTAATATGGCTAGAGCCCTATTCTTTCAGTCACAAATTCTTATTCAATTCTAGGAAGATTTTGTGCTCATAGAAACATATCTTATCAATCGAACTCCCTCACCAATCTTACAAAACAAAGCACCATTTCCTTGTTTTACAGGTCATCCACTGGACTACAACTTTCTTAGAGTATTTGGAAGCTTGTGTTTTGCATCAACCTTACTTCTCATCACCTAAAGTTTCATCCTAGAGTAAGGGCTTGTGTGTTTATTGGTTATCGTCCTGGTATCAAGGATAAAGGTTGTATGATACTGTTACCAAAACCATTTTTATCTCAAGAGATGTGGTATTTCATAAGAGCATTTTTCCTTTCCATTCTATCCCAAACACTCATGAAACCACTAACCATTTCCTAACCTTGTTTTGCCTAAACCCGCACTTAATATGCCTACTTATGGTCTGGCTAATGATCTGACTCCTGATTGTCCTCCAAACTCAGAGCCCATTACAATCCAATATGCAACTCCTACTAAACCCACTCTTATGAGATCACTTAGGACTAGTATACCTC